TTTTTTTTTTTTTTTTTTTCCGGCTCTCTTCCAATGATCGCTCGTTGGGAATTTTTATCGACTTTAGTGTCAATTAAATTATAAATAGGAATACAGCATATAATATAAGACTGTCGTGCTGTGTAAAAATAGAAAAGAAAATACTCATTACATAATGGCGACTCGAAAGATTGTTTTCCGCTTACGTAATTTACGTTATGTCATAAATTATGACACGTGGTTTTTTTATATCATACTATATTTCTGTTTACAATACGATCGACATTATAAAGTCAATAGAAATTTTACCATCTTTTTATTTTTTTACTTTTTTTATTTTTTTTATTTTTTTTTTTTTTTGTTTTTAAGCAAAGAAAAGAATATTGCAAGAACGTTGCAAGAAAAGAATATTTTATATAAATCTGTAACGAAAAATTCCCCCGACAAATTCAGAGATCGAATCAAATCGGATGAGGTCAGAGATTGCGAGGTCGGGGAAAGAAATTCGAGAGGTTTCGATCGCCCCGAGAGTCCATCGCGCAAACAGAATTCTCGAGACGAGAGAAAGTAATCGAACGAGTTAGATCAGCGCGATAAGAAAATACAGGGAAAAGCAGAATCGTCTACGTCTCAGTGTAAGATAAAGACCTTTTATCGAGGAAACATGTAACTCGATCTGTGTTGTAAAGCACAGAATTAAACCACTTCCACGTCACAATCGCTTTATTTCGTTCCTCATTGTTTTTCAATCTAATCGATAGGGGAAAAAAAAAAAGTTTCTTGCGCGATATAAAATATAACATGTGCGAATAGATACGCGAATGAAAAAAAAAATATATTGAAAAAAATAAACACATTATCGAAAACAACTTTTTTTTTATCAACTTTTCGATCAACGTGCGCGATACACGTCGCGCGCGAAATTACAAAATTTAAAGTTATTCGTTGCGTCGGCGCACATCGAGGATTATTACTATATCACAGAGGTGGTGTAATATGCGAGTTCATGTATTTATCCCCGCTCGTCGCGCGAATTTAATCAAAGAGAGAGAAATGATTTAGTTTTCCCGCTGGATGTTTGGGCTGCAAATATATACGTCGCGCGCATTTACGTCGCTTTCGCAAATTCCACGCTAATAACGAAAACTAGAGCTCTCGCGGTCAACGTGCACCGTCAAGCTTAAATCGAGCACGTATGTATCGTCGCGTGTGCGTTTGAAAACCGACAAATTAACTAAATAACGTTTGGCGCGGGATCGTTCTCTTAATTGAAATCTGATCTGCGAGATAGATGCGGGACGGATCATTACCGGGGACTATCCTAATGTGGCTTTCCGTGCTCTGGTCTCGATTCGCTAACGACATCATTGCGCGCACAACGGTA